AGGGGATCATTCGGCCCAGCCACTCCCCTTTTTCCTCCCCAGTTCTGTTGGTACCCAAACAGGATGGGACTTGGAGATTTTGTGTGGACTATAGGGAACTCAATAGCTGAACCGTCAAAGATAAATTCCCGATCCCCATCGTAGACGAATTATTGGACGAACTCCACGGCGCACAATTCTTCTCCAAATTAGACCTCAGGTCAGGCTATTTCCAGGTCAGGATGTCTTCCGCAGATGTAGAAAAGACAGCCTTCAGGACGCATCATGGCCATTTCGAGTTCCTAGTTATGCCATTCGGCCTTTGCAACGCCCCTTCCACATTCCAGGCCCTGATGAAAGAAGTCTTCCACTCCCACCTCCGTAAATATGTACTGGTTTTCTTCGACGACATCTTGGTCTATAGCAAGACGTGGGTGGAACACATTCAGCATCTGTGGGTCGTGCTCGAGCTCCTAAAGCAGCACTGACTCTTCCTTAAAAGATCCAAGTGTTCCTTTGGGGAACACCAAGTCCTTTACCTTGGACATGTAATCAGCGGGCAAGGTGTAACTGTGGACAGCTCCAAAACTCAGGCCATCAAGGACTGGCCCCGGCCACAGTCTGCCAAGGCCCTCCGTGGGTTCCTAGAGCTAACAGGGTACTACCGAAAGTTCGTACAGAATTATGGCCTGTTAGCAGCCCCGCTTACCAACCTGCTTAAGAAAAATGCCTTCCACTAGGATAGCACAGCCGATGGAGCCTTCGTAAGCCTAAGGGAAGCCCTCTCTTCCACACCAGTCCTCTAGCTACCAAACTTTGATCTTGAGTTCACAGTCGAGTGTGATGCTTCCGGCACAGGCATAGGAGCCATCCTTCAGCAGCAAGGGCACTCGGTAGCCTTCTTCAGCCGCAAGCTAGCTGACCGCCATCTCAAACTACCCACCTATGAATGCAAGCTCATTGGCCTAGCCAAGGCAGTACAACACTGGAGGCCATACTTGTGGGGCAGACCCTTCGTCGTCAAAACAAACCACTACAGCCTCAAATACTTGTTGGAACAACGACTGACCACCTCCCCACAGCAACATTGGGTTAGCAAGCTCCTGGGTTTTGATTTCCGGGTGGACTACAAGGCAGGGTCCCTAAACCGTGCAGCAAATGCCCTGTCCCGATGAGAAGAAGATAGTATGCTCCTCCATGCGATCTCCCAACCACGAGCCACCCTACTAGAAGACATTCGGAACACACTGCCACAGTCATCAGAATGGAACGACCTGGTCCAACAAATACAGTATGGGTCTACTAACCCGAACTGGTCTCTCCACGATGGGCTGGTGCTCTACAAAAAGAAGATCTACCTTCCCACCGATTGCCCCCTAATCCCCTCCATCATCGCCAGCATACACCACTCGACACACGAGGGCATTCAAAAAACGCTACATCGTATTCACGCTGACTTCCACTGGCAAGCTATAAGGGCCTCGGTGCGGGACTTTATCCAGAACTGCGCAGTTTGCCAACAGCAAAAATGGGAAAATCTGCACCCCGCAGGCTTGCTCCAACCTCTCTCCCTCCCAACGCAGATCTGGGCCGATATTGCCATGGATTTCATCGAAGGGCTGCCCAAAGTCGGGGGGAAGTCAGTCCTGTTCGTGGTAGTAGACCGGTTCTCCAAATATGCTCACTTCCTCCCTTTATCCCATCCTTATACCGCAGTCTCGGTCGCCCGTACCTTCTTCACCCACATTTTTCGCCTACATGGACTCCCCGATTCCATCGTCAGTGACCGGGAGCCGATCTTCACAAGCACATTCTGGAAGGAACTCTATAGATTATAGGGCACGGCCCTCGCCTTCTCCTCAGCCTACCATCCACAGTCAGACGGCCAAACAGAGGTGGTGAACCGGACAATTGAGATGTACCTTCGYTGCTTCGTGGGTGACCAGCCACAACGCTGGGTGGAGTACCTCCCATGGGCTGAATACTACTACAATACATCTTATCACTCCTCCCTTGGAATGACTCCCTTTAGAGTTGTGTACGGTCGAGATCCTCCATGCCTTCTATCCTACGAGTCGGGCTCAACGCAGTTGGAAGAAGTGGACCGCAGCCTCCAAGCTCGCGATGCCCTCCTGGCTGAAGTCTCCTTGCGCTTACAGCAGGCGCAGGCGCGTATGAAACACGCTTACGATCAGCGGCACCGCAAAGTCACCTTCGAACCGGGGCAGTACGTTTGGCTGAAACTCCGACCATACAGGCAGTTGTCTCTCAGGCGCAGGGGGCCCCCTAAGCTGGCCCCTAAATTCTACGGGCCCTTCAAGATTCTAAGGAAGATAGGAAAGGTTGCTTATCAACTCGAGCTCCCGGAGCACAGCAGGACCCACGACACCTTCCATGTGTCCCTCTTAAAGCTTTTTGTTGGCCCTCCTCCCGACCATGTGCCTCCCCTACCCCCTTTGCAGAACGGCAGACCTATCCTCCAGCCTCGCACCCTCATCCTATCCTGCATCCATCAAGGCACCTTCGAGGTTTTAGTAGAATGGGAGGGACTACCCCCAGCAGAGGCCACCTGGATCCCCTGGACCGATCTCCACAATGCCTATCCAGACCTCGAGCTTGAGGACAAGCTTGTAGTCCAGGAGGGGAGTGATGTTATGAGCACCTGCACCACACGGCAGCAGTTGAGGCAGCAGTGCGCACACGACCGACACCGCACGGCAGCGGCACCATGAGCCGCGCACACGCATCATGCGGCAGCGACACCACGCGCGCACACCGCGCGGCGGCGGCACCATGAGCCGCGCGCACGCACCTAGCAGCAACAGCAGAGCAGGGCCCACGCGACAACTCATAGGGTGGGCCCACCCTTATCTGGACACGTCAAGAGAACGCGCCTTATCCCTTATCCCACTCTCCCTTATTTTGTCCCCTATTCTTAGAAGGAATTGTAGTACCATTAAAAGTAAGTAGTCTTATTAGAAGTAGGAGTTTGAGTCCGTTTAGGACTAACCTAGCGGAATCTAACAAGGAACCCTCCTCTTGTAATCTCCTATTTAAGGAGACGCTATTATTAAATGAAGATATCGAATATTCAGTCAAGGAAGAGAGTAAAGGAGAGTTAGGTGATCTCKTGGACAAATCACYCGCGAGATAGTCAAAATAGGGCCTGTACGCAAGGCCAAGGGCAAGGAAAGATCTGAGGTTCCTGTGGTGGAGCGACCCGTGACGCGATCCTACGCTCAGGCCCATAACACTAATCTATTTAGACAACTAAACTTAGTACTAAATAAAAATTTAGTAAAATTTAAAACAATTTAATAAAAATAAAAAAAAATAATACAATTTGGAATGCCACAATGCTCCTTGGAGTTCAACTTGGTTGAATTGGGTCGAGTTGAGGGTTGACCCAAGTAGGGATGGTAATGGGGCGGGTTCGGGGAGGGTTTTGTAAATTCTAGACCCTGCCCACCTCCCTAAACCTCCCAACTCGTACTTGCCCCAAAATCCGTAGTAGGTTGGATTTTGAGAATGCAAACCCTACCTGCACATGAAAATGCAAAACCCTCCCTAACCCTACCCTCCCCACATTCAAGGGTAGGGGTGAGTTTGATTTAGAACCTATATCTAATTTCCTATTTTTTCTTGTCATACATAAGTAATAAATAAGTAAAATAACACAAATAAACAATAAAAATTCCAATTATTTGATTAAGACATGTAGAAAACACATAAACTACCAACCCAACAATATGCGGGTCAGGGAGGGTTGGGTTTAGCCTAATATCATACCCTATGGGTACTCTATGGGTTGTAGAATCCTAAAAGCCATCCCCACCCCAAAACCCATCCTTCACCTTCAAGCAAAAAAAAAAAAAAAAACCCGCCTTGTTAGGGAGGGTTGGGGTGGATACCACTAGGTAAGGTAGAAATTGCCATCCCTAGACCCAAGCCCAACCTTAAGTCACACAAACCTCGAACTTAGACTTGGCCCAACTCAAGGTTAAGCATCTCGGGTTGGGCTTGGGCTTGTGTGTATTAGACTTTGTAGCATAATTTTCAAGTATAATCGATTGATAGTATGTAAATGTGTATGTCATAAAATATTAGGTGGGCTCAAATTGGACTGACTAGAGCTTAGGCTACCTGAGACCTCAAGGCCCAGCCTTGTGCATGTTGAACTTTGTAACCTAATTTTCAAGTAAAATAGATTGATAATATGTAAATATGTATATCATAAAATATAGGGCGGGCTCAAATTGGACTGATTAGAGCTTCGGCTTCCTGAGGCCTCAACCCAAGCCCAAGGTGAATTTAGGTTTGGCCCAAGCTCAACTTGTAGTTAGAAACTCAAGCACAACCTAATGCAAAATGATTTTTCATTTCAACTGCAAAGGCATCATGATTTGATGATTCAGAATCCAATTTTCATTGTTGATTCCCAATAATTCTTATTACAAGTCTAATTTGAGTGCGTGAGCAAGAACACACAAGCTCTTTTACAGTTTTTACCTTCTATCTGGCTGGCATCATTCACCATGTGATTCAAACTGTATACGATGATAAAAATCAATGGCATGTATCTCACAACTGGACTTTCTTGTACGGGCCGGGCTAGGGCTTGGCTTTTGTCAAAATTCTAATAGGCCAAGCCCAAACCCGAGAAAGTGTAAAGTTGGGCCCAAAGCCCGGGATAACTTCCCATATACTTGCTTGCACGTCTTTTCTTCATTCGAGAAAGATCGTAGTAGCAGTGCCTACTGGTGTTTGAATGTGTCTGTTTGTTTCTAGATACTTGGTACGATTGGTTGAACTTTCACCACTTTGATTTTGCCCGTCAAAACAGAAACAGAATCCAATGAGCTGTTTTGTTTATGTCTTTTTCTGCTTAACATGGCGATTTCATAACAAATGAAAACATATATTATGTTATAGAAGTATAGAACCCCCCCCGCCGCTTTAAAGTTCAAACAACCATTAACAAACCAAGACGTAACAAAACATCTCTGACTCACAACATAACATACAGGAAAAGGAAATATATGCTGGTTTTTATTACTAATAAAATTAATGCATTTAAAGAGCTTGCGTGATGTAACCTTTGTACCCAAAATAGGGAAATTTGTTGTTAATTATCACATTACACGAGAAAGAAAACACAAGTATATATACACTGGGGCACCATTCGGATCAGTAGTTCACAAGGAGACACTGCTGCATGTTAACTCGAATTAGGTATGATTCATCACTGGTTTTTGTTAGACTGTTGAACAACAAAGAAGAACAAGTTAGCAGTAAGCGACTCAGCAAAAACAAAACAAATCAAATTTATATAACAACGAATATCCTCGCCTCGAGATTCTTGGATAAGTCCTGCAACTGCTCTTTAAGTACTTGCCTCTTCTGTGCAGCTACATTGGAACAACAAACACGTCCTCGTTACAATATTACCAAGAATTAAGGCAATTAATATTTAAACGCAATATGGAAAGCATCACAGAACTTGATAAGAAGCATACCCATATTAGAAATGTCCTCTATTCTCTTGGACGTCCTCACTGCAAACCTCTGAAAAGCAGGGCTATGAATAGAGAGAAATGAAACATTATTAATACAGACCAAAATCAGCGAGGTTGAAGAAATGGTAGCAGAGTATAAAAATTAAACCACACGATCACTTGGGAGAAACCATTGGTCTGATAACTTGCACATTTGTGACATTAACAGAGGACTACATGAATAATGAATATATTGTTCCCCAACGTCCAAATGCAGCATAGACGCTACACTGGATAGCGAGAGGAACGTTATTCTGGCTTCACATAAACAGTCGCACTAGAATTTAAGCTATCAAGGAGTCCATTTTGGGTAGATCAAGAAAGTGAAGCTGTGGTTCACATTAAAATGGCTACGTGTGTAGCAAAGAACGAAAACAAAGAAGTGACTCAGACCCTTAAACAAATGTAAGGTTGCGGTCATCACCGCAGCCGGTAAAGGTCTATAGAGTCATCCATTTGGTATTGAATAAGCAAACAAAAATGTAAATAGTAATTATGGAAACTCAGTCCCTTAGATGTTCTTAGAGTTGCGATCATATTCGCAAATCATTACATGTCTGTATACTCGTCATCGTTGCTCAAAAAGTAAAACCTAAAAAACAAATGCCCAAATCAAATTAAAAGCATTGGACTTTCAATTTTAACAATAAATATAAAAAACCAAAATAAAGGATTATTTAGGTGTCCCATTATTCCCCAGAGAAAAAATGCATACAAAGAGGAAAATTATGGTTCAAGAACATCATATCCGTATCGCTTCAAGGGAACGAGTCAAATTGGAATCAAATAATCACAATGACCAGATAATGAAGCAAAACCTAAAACAAATCGATTCGTATACATAATCTTCTCAACTTTCATAAGCTGCAGTACAATTGATGTGACGCAGCAGAAGAAAATAGCACAAACGGAAAAATTGAACCAAATATCGCTTCAAGGGAACGAGTCAATCGAGAACAAATGAATCCCGGCGACCAGATAAAGAAGCTTGAGGAAAGTTATAGACTAAAAGAACAAACGAAAAGATCTAAAAGGAGTCGGATAAAAAAGCAAACGAAGAAAAACGAAGCGTAAAATCTACAAAGTGAACTACCTGTTTGCTAGACCATTGACGATTAACTCATTAGCAACGTAAGAAATCACCCTGTGCATGAAATTTCCACCTGCCATGATCCTTAAATTCCTCTCCTGTGAAGAATGACAAGTATAGAGACTATTCAGATCCAAAACAAAGGTAGAACGAAAGGGAATCGATGACATGTTCGTATAAGAAAAGTTAGAGAGTACAGAAATTCACGGATTCTAAATCAAAGAAACCCTAATTAAGAGAAGACTAGTCAGGTACCAGGAGAGTGCAAAACGCGATTTCAGTTCAGGGAAGAAAAAAACCCTAGAACCCTTGACGCGCTGCGGGTGGCATCCGCTTTTATAGGGAAATGCTAACGAGATCGAACGGTTGGTATGCACATTCCCAATACGAACGCGTTGGATGTTTATCATCAGGTTCGATTCGGGCCATTCGGCTCCGAACCGTGATAGTAGAACTATAGAAGTTTATTACAAGGTAGGGTTTGATTCGAAATGGATCCACTCACGAGGAAGTGGGAGTACGCTTTTGTCGTAGGCTATAGATCGTTTGGTCAAAGATGTAGCGGCTGTAGCCACGATGCTCGGATTTAGGGATGGCAATTTTCCCCTCCCGACGGTACCCGCTTTCCCGACCCGATGACGATTTCTTTAGCGTTGCGGGGACGGGGACAGGGACAGGGATTACTAAATTCAGTTCGGATTTTTTGTCCACACAAACTACTCACATAATATTGCAATAATATATGGAGAATATCTCATCCTTCTACATAGTATTATGCAGGGGGAGATGTTTCCAATTCACGAGGATAGTGTATTGTGGAAAGATGTAGGCAGAGTTCACGTGGATAAGAAATCTGGAGTCTGCTAAATCCCCGGACTGGGGTCAGGGTCGGGGATGAGGGTAGTGTGTTGTGGGTAGATGTGAACAAAGTTCACATGAGTAGAAAATCTGGAATCTACTAAATCCCCAGACTGGGCTAGGGTTGGGGATAGGGAATAAAGTCTCTGCCTCAATCCCAATAGGGAAAATCTATGATAGTATAGAAAGAGTTTTGATCAATCAAAACCCATCCATGAATTTTGATAAATGATACCTTATTCACGATCACGTTTTTTGTTTCAATTTATTGTTTAGTTGTTTTTTGGATATCATATCTTTTCCATATGATAGCTGAACCCATTTAAAATATTGTTTATATTTTAAAATTTTTATTAATTTTAAATAAATTTACTTTTCAAAATATACTGTTAATTAAAAAAATTCGAGGATTTTGATCCCCGCAACAATTGCCCTTGGCATAAGTACATTTGAAATTAAGATTCATGGCTCTAGGAAAGGTTGGTATGGTTAGAAAAATACTTTTTTTAGAAAATGACAATGTATTTTTTGAACCATGCTATCTATTCGGTTGAAAAATTCTTGGGGTCGTGTCCTGAATTCTGAACCATACAATACAATACAGTCGCTACATCTTGTTTTGTTTATGATTAATATTGTAGATACAACACCGTTTTCTCGTGTGGGTTGAAAACGATGTATTTTTTTTTTGTTTGACCATGTTGGTGTCAGGTAGGATGTTTCTTGGAGCAACAACATTTTATGATTGGTATCTGATGGAGGGTGATTTGGCCCAACCTCATAACACGGGGACACGTGGACACAACCTAGCATAAGTGACAACTTAGCATGACAGCTTGGCCATAACTCGGCGTAACGGACTCGCCGAAGCCCGGCCAAACAACTCGGTGGACGTGGCAACTCGCTGAGAAATAATATACGGCTTACTCCGAATTCTCCCTAAGGGAGGAGCACCCCGAGCTCCCTCCAAGCGAGGAGTCCCGAGCTCTTCCCAGTGAGCCCCGAACTCTTCCTTCCTGAGAAGGGAACACCCCGATCTACGGATAAGTATCCCGAAGTGGAAACACTTCGGGTTAGCCCCATTAAGCACTCTTGCCCATACTTGCCTAAGGCTCGCCTCAAGCATAAGCACCTCAGTGCACTCCCAGCACCTCGGCGTAAGGTAGCTCGGCCCAAGGTAACTCGGTGCAAAGTAGCTTGACAACCTACAGGAAAGATCTGTCTAACAATAGTACCTGCCGAATCTGGAGGCTGCGCCCATGTCTCTCGTCAGGCGGCGTCATGTCTGCCTTTTCTGCCAGATGGTGCACGTCTTACAGGTCCGTACCCTGCAACGGCTGCCTGCATCCGCCACCTCGGCTCTGGCAGTAACGGTTGTGGCAGAGGTGGTTACGCCTGATTTGGCAGATCTCCAATATAAAAGGACCCTGACCCCCAAGGAGCAAAGGTACTGAACTTGTGCCTTCTGCACTCTTAGCTCTCTCTTTGCATTCTCTACAGTTCTCTCAGAATTCTAACTTAAGCATCGAAGTGTTCTCACCGGGCAAGCTCCCCGGGAATTATTCACTTTCCTCTTCGTCTCAGGTACCGTCCGTCGCCAGCTAGGAGCCAGGTTTCTGCCAGCTAGGAGTGTCCGGATCGCGTTGCATCAGTATCAATGCTATTATCCAGTGCCACGTCATGTCTCTGTTGGCAGCAACGAGCTGCAGTTCTAGGAAACACCAAATTCGGTGTTGCTCCAAGCCACACCTTCCTGATTTTCAAGGTGTGGCTTGGAGCACCGTTTTTTATGGAAAAACAGTTTCAAACAAACAGGCGTTTCCTGAAGCATCGTTTTTTTCCAACGTGACGTTGATGTGTCGCTGTTTTCTGGAGCAACGGCATCGATGCCAAACATACGCTTAGTATATGTTTGGCATGGATGTTGTAGATACAACACCGTTTTCTTGGTGCTGCTGATGTGTGGGTTGGAAGCACTATTTTTTGAGAAAACGATGTCTTTTTTTTTTGTTTGGAAACGTTGTTTCTAGGTAGGACGTTTCTTGAAGCAACAACACCATCTGTTTGGTACTGGTGCTCCATATCTATTTTCAGCACATCAACAAACTCTAATATGAGAAAACGTCAAATTCAACGTTGCTCCAAACCACACCTTCTCAATTTCCAAGGCGTGGCTTGGAGCACCATTTTTTATAGAAAAACGGTTCCAAATATATTGACATTTCCTGGAGCACCGTTTTTTCCAACGTGGCATTGATGTATCATCGTTTTCTGGAGCAACGACATCAATCCCAAACATACCTACTGAACCAAGCATGTGAATGTTGATTTTGTGTGACTAACATTTATATATACACTAGTGAATGACCCCATATTCAATTTACATTATGGAATCAAAAATGTAAAATTTATATTTATTAATATTTTAAATAATTATTAAAATTTCAAAAAATACTTATTTCAATAAATAGCTTTTCAATAATTATTAGAATATGGATAGTTTTATTTTGCTATGATATATAGAGGGTTAATGATTAATTGAGATTGATAGAATGTAGACAGAAGTGGTTGTAGATAACCAATTTTGCATTTTTTAGGAATGGATCGAAAATGGTGGTAGTGGGTTGTGGGCTTTAGCAACAACTTCTCAGAAAATGCCATGTGTTTAGCTTTTCAGAAAAATGAAAAAGCCATGTGTTTGAATGGTAGGAGGCTATAGCCTAGTAGTGGATTGTGTGCTTTACCAGGAATTTTTCAAAAATTGCCATGTATCTAAATTTAAAAAATCCACGTATCTAAATGATGGGGTTGTAGCCTGAAATTCGCCTCCCATCATAGATTGTTGATCGTATGGTTTTTGAGCAAAGGTTGAAAACACAACAAATTGGCATATTCAATGAAAGGGGGATTGTGATGATTTTGAAACGAAGGATTGCAGGTCCCCATCAGCGAGTTGGCACCTTCTATATTCCTTAAGACCGTAATGCTTGGTATGTTAAAATGCTACAGACTATTTTGTGGGAGAAATGATGAAAGTTTGAATTATTTTGTTCTAGTCCAAGTGTTCAATTATAAACTTGTCTGCCGCTAAAGGATATAGGATACTTTAATAAAAAACCGGAAAATTGAAATAACCTTAGGTTCAGTTTGGAAGGAGTATAAATATAAATATGTAGAGTACAAAACTTTATATTTTGTATTATTTTGTATGTATTTGCACTGTATATATCTGCATATGTACTCATTTCAAACTGATCCTTATGTCCAATCCCATAAGCCACGGCCATGGGAGATCACCATAATGAAGGGCGTTGACCTGGTGGTTGAACGGTTGATCTGTTCGACTTGGATAATGGTTTTGATCGTTTTTTATTTTAATTATTTTTTAATTTTTTATTTTTTAAATAAGAATTGGTCATCCGTTCGAACCGGATGGTCTAGCCATTGACGTAGAAACTAGTGGCCAAAGCGGTTCTAGTTCGGAGGAATTTTTAAAACCTTGAACACAAGATTCCATTGGGAAAAATATGCTATTAGATTTAAATATATTCAAGGAAGAGCAATGACTCTATTAGCATGCCCAAAACCTCTAGGATAAGACTTTAAGGTAAAACAATTTAAAATAAGGGCAAATCTCTTAATGTACCCTTAAGTTTTAAGAAATTGACATACTCTACCGCTATTATTTACATATTGTCTTAAAGTCCCCCCTAAGTTTTCTGACAATTGACTAAATCCTCCTTGTCATTAGCTTTTGTTAATAGAAAAATGGATAAGACTATTTTATCTTTCATTCTTCTTTAAATTCTCAAAATTCTACCCTCTAGATGTTAGAGCTTTCTTTGTGTTCCATCGCTTTATTTTCCTCCGCCAATCCGTTCATCTCTCTCTAGCTAACTTGCTGATTTGATCTCCTCTAGAGTCTAGACTTTTGAAAGAACTAGTTGGACTAAAGCTTGTTCGTGTGTGGAACAGGATACTGGAATTTTTGCAATAGGAGTGAAAGATGATGCTTGGTGGTTCTAAAGCATTACCAAAGGACATAAATCTTTTGTTTCCTTCTTCCTTCAAGAATCCAGAGGAACTGCAGTCAAAGAGAAGAGGAGTCATGGATTCAAATTCCCACTTTCATCATCATCATCATCAGCACACAATGCAGTCACAACAACATCAACAGGCTTGGTCTGTCGAGTCCATTGCTTGTGAATGTTATTGCGGTAGTAGCGGTAATGTTGAATATGGATGCGAGAATTTCCTCCAAACCCTGAAGCAGAGAGCATGTTTGTGAGGTTTATGTCTTTTGCTGGTAGTGGTGATTCTACTCTTCCTGATCCACGGGAAATCGGAGAGAAACCTTTAACATTATCTTCATCCACCAAAGTTGTTAACCATAAAATTTCTCAGTTGGCACCAAGCCACCAACAAAGCATGAAGGCAAGGTTAGGGAACATCTTTTGCACAATTGATTACCTCGGTCAACCTTCCTTTCAACTCTCCAACCTCCACCTACAGGCTGAATTTCAAAGAGATTATATTGTTGTCTTGGTAGTCGCATAGAAACTAAAATGCTAAGTGTGACCATTAAAACATATGCTATTTCTATTTGTTTTCTATCTCAACCTAAAATAGAGACGAATATCAATCAAGTTATATGTCAGTTCTTCTTCTTTACATCATCACGGGTTCAAGCAAAACCATTGATAGATGAACGTAACTTTAGAGGCAACCAAGCCAAAGCCCATTCCAGGCCAAAATCACCTGCAACTCATCACTATGGCCACGTTCCACACACAAATTTCTAAAAGAATTGAAGCCAAACATAAAAAATCTCAGTTTTCTCGGACCCGTGGGTTCCAACTATCATAAGGGGAATCCCACATCCAAAAGACACAACAACCGAGTCTCACCGTAACCAACATGTGTCATCACTATTGAACCCAGATTGGAGTTGGAACCACCATATTCCGGCCCAATTTTTTGATGAACAAATATGCTCTCATATCCTTCAAATTACCCCCGACATAGAGTCAAGCCAAGATAACATTTTGTGGAAACGCAACACCTCCGGAACATACACAGTGAAGTCGGCATTCAGGGTTTTTGAAAACCAGAAATCATCATCCTCTGAAGCACATTTCCCATGGAAAAACCTGTGGAAACTGAACATCCCCTATAGGTGTATAGTATTCATTTGGAAAGTGGTGTGGAATGGCTTCCTAACTCGAAGTAAATGCACAAAATGGCTCCATCCCTCTGAAGCATATTGCCCTTTCTATAGATATCAAAAGGAAACAACCTCACATATACTCTTTACATGCCCTTTCAGAAGAACAGTTTGGTGTGAGGCCCAGGTAGGGCTGAACCCGAATGACATCAAAGAGGAAGAGGAAGTTTATGTTTCCATCATAAAGTAGTGGAAAAAATTAAAAAAGAACTTATCGCCACAAGAGGCTATACATCTTGTAAGGAAGGGTTGTATTATACTATATCTCATATGGAGAGCCAGAAATGACCTCATTTTTTTACCACAAGAATACCACCCAAAAGACATTATTTCTCGAGTGTGGAAGTATCAGTGCTCTCATGACTAATGCTTTGAAAATATAAGGATTATCACCCCAACAGACAAGAGACGGAACACCCTCACCACACTTTGCATTGATGGATTGTGTGACTTACTCTTAGGTCTTGCAGGACGAACTTTCATCATCCAATGCACAGACAGAGGCACAGTCTTCGCTGAAGGAGAACCATGTTGGGCCATCGACAGTTATGATGCGGAACTCCGGGCTCTAATTCAAGGGCTCAAAGCTGTCAGCCAACTCAAGGTATCCAGGATCATGATATATAGTGACTTGTTGCAGTTGATAGATTTTTTGCAAGATAAAAGTCAACCAAAGAAATAGATAGACCGGTTACATTGGACACAATTATCAAAACTTTTATCTACTTTTGAACAATTAGAGTTTGTACATATAAACAGAAACTACAACAAGGCTGCTCATACACTAGCCTATCTGGCATGCAAAGGCTAGGTGAAAATACTCTATAACCAACGTTTATCCACATCTGTAAAGTTCGATTTAACTTAAAAAAAAAACCTTTAGAGGCGACCAAATCTTTTTCCTTTTTTTGTAATACTGGATATGAATTGGGCCTACATTGGAAAAATTGAAGGAAAGGAAAGGCCATTATAGATCAGAAAGGGGGTGGCTATGCTCTCAGCAATCTAAGCAAGTGATTGTAAGTTGCAGAGACCTATGGTGTCGATGAACATACATGTGTCTTTGCTAGTATTCCTTGTGAGATGTCAATGATGTATGATTCAACAACAACGGTTCTTGTGCCAATAAAAGAAGGGTGGAGAGTGGTGACTGGTCTGTAATTGAAGAGGTGATTTTCCTCCCTATAATGTTGAAGTTGAGGACGTGGCACTTTGGCACTCTTGTTTTGAAGGGTAATATTGAATTTTAAAATTAAATTGTTTTTTACATATATGATGTTACATGTGAAGAGATTGCGATGGAATGTTAACAAACGCTAATGGCAGGGGAGCATTTAATCAATTGTTAAAAAACTTAGATTATTTAAGACAATATATAAATAGTAGGGGCAGAGTTAGTCAATTTTCTAAAGTTTAAGGGTATTTTAACAGATTTGCCCTTAATATAACAGTCTTCTTATAAAATTCTCTATTTTCTTTTTTTTTGAAACCATATAAAACTCTACGAGTCTATATATTAAATCAAATAAAGATTTTTGGTCAAATATTAAAATTGCATATTCCCTAGCCCAATGATATCCAAATATCCGATTCCGAATTCGAATTCAATCATATTAAGCATGATCCGAATCCGATCTGTTTGCAATTGGATCAAATATGAATTTATCTGTATCTGATCCAATATAATTTGATTTGATTCGATTTAAATATATACTAGCGGAGGGGGCCCTGCGTTACAAGGGCTCGCTCATAAACTATCAGGCTCGAGTTTGATTCGAATTAGAGACTTCAGCTCGAGCTCGGCTCGAGTCAAAATCTTGGAAGTTCAAGCTCATCTACCTTTGATTGTAGGCTTCTCAAGCAGTCGAAGTGCCGAGCTGAGGTCTCCCTCAATTGCCGAGGTGCCAAATCGAGGTCTCCCTCAACTACTGAAGTGTCGAGCTAAGGTTTCCCTAACAGGCGAGGTGTTGAGCTAAGGTCTCCCTTAGTTGACAAGGTGCCAAGCTGAGGTCTCCCTCAGTTGTCGAGCTGCTGAGCCGAGATCTCTCTTAGTGACCAAGGTGTCGAGCCGAGGTCTCTCTCAGTGGTCAAAGTGTCATCTAGCTCGAGCTCGATTCGAATTAGAGACTTGAGCTTGAGCTCAAAAGTTCGAGCTCGACTCGACTCAAACTTGACTACCTTTGATTGCAGGTCCCCTAGCAGCCGAGATGCCGAGCTGAGGTCTCCCTCAATTGAAGAGAGTGGCATTCTTGTAATTTATAAGGAGGAAGAGAAAAAGATGGTATGAGAGAAAGATGACATTCTTGTAATTTGTAAGAAAAAGAGAGAGAGCGGCAATTTTTGAAAATTGAAAGAAAAAAAGCAAGAGAGAGAGTTGGTAGAGAGTGACATTCTTGTAATTTCTATGAGAAAAAGGCAAAAAATACTGTTAGATTTCATTTTCCTCATCCTGAGGCTTCTTACGTACACATTTCAGCTTAATATATTTATATAAATAAGTTGGTCTTAATGTTATATTTTTCCACTAAATTGTCATATGTTCAGGTTTTATCAAGTAATTTTCAATTCATTCTGTTCATAAAATATATTATTAAAGACATTTTTAGCTAATAATATATAATATTTTGGTCATTTTTAGTCTAATTTATTTGTACTATTTAATATCAATTATAATCCAAATTCGATTTGAATCCGCTAGATATTTGATAGTTATGATCCGATTTGGATTCAAATGTTAACAAATCAAATTCAGATATGCCTATATCCGATTCGATCTGATTCATTTGCAACCTTAATATTCCCACATCCCTACCGCACCTATGATATCCCATGGATAAAGATGTGGGAACAGCTTGTGATCGAGCCCTGCATATTATGCATAAAAAGCTTGTGCCGTTTGATAATTGCTGAAACCACAGAACTGATTGGCTTATTGCTTTGTCTTTTAATTGAAAAAATAATTAACTAACAAAAAAATGGAATATAATAACCAACTTTAGAGCCTCAGTTAGCTCTGATACCACAAACTATGCATAAAAAACTAGTGCCGTTTGATAATTGCTGAAATTGAAGAACTGATTGACTTATTACCTTGTCTTCAGTTGATAAAAATATGGGCGCTGAAACAAAAGAACTGATTGGCTTATTACTTTGCCTTTAGTTGATAAAATAATTAACTGGGGCCAAGCCAGCCTCAGCTCAGATATTAAGGAGTTCATAACCTCCTTAATAATACACGATAAGCAATTAACCGTGTGGGAATGAGATTTGATCACAAGTCTCTGTTACAATTTAAAGATCCTATCCTACACCATCAGTCGGTAATAAAGCAATAACCATTCAGTTAAGCATTATCAAACGATTGTAATTAAAGTGAAAAGCATATCTTCTATCATAAATCATTTGTAGTTTGAAGCTATGTTTTAATTTTATTTGTAGTTTAAAGATTATGAAATCCATTCGTACTACAAAAGCTGATTTATGTGGGCATCCTTTTACCAAGGATTTAAGTGGATTTTAATGAATAGAAACAACTTTGTTTAACTAAAATAAATGCTTTAGTTTATTGAAGTAAAACCAGTTATTCTAACAAATGCAAGTGAAACCGCTTCATTTAATGAAGTGAAACTACTTGATTTAATGGGCATTTGGTAGATAGCTCTCCATGTTTTTTTGAAATTTTTTTTGGCTAAAATATCCCTCTTTTTGAACTTGGTCCTCACTATTGTTAGCATAGAAGTTGTAATTTGAATATTACTTTTTAATGCATTTCATTCCTTTATTAAGTCTCATATTTAAGGCATTAACTTCCATTCTCTCTCATTGAATCCTATGTTTAAGCATTTTTGTCCATCATCATTAAATTCTACTAATTAACTCGATGAACACTGATACTAATAATATAAAAACTATATTTTAAAATCAATCAAAAACAAAACCGTTTTTTAGGTCCTAGATTAATGGTTATATTGTTTGGACCAAACATGTGAACCCAAGATACCATAATTAAATACTAAAAACTTAAAAATAGATAAAATTGCATAAATAAAAAATTAAAAAAATAGGTGCATCTTTAATATTATGTATTTGTCATTATTAAACAAAAACATGTATGATAAATAAGAAGTATTTTTATTGATGATGGAAATGGAATGCAATATCTAAAATTGATCTATAAATGGGACCATTTTTCTCCCTGAGTGGTGGGTCAATGGTTTAACCATTCAGATCAATGGATCAACCCATGACATCATAATAAAATAATATTTTATTCTAAAAACATAAAAATTATAAAAAATACATAAAATATATAAACTAGAGAAGTTTAGACACTTTTCTAACATTATATATTGATTCATATTAAAAAAATAAGTATAATAAATAAGAATTATTTTTATTAACGATGTGATAAAATACAAAATTTAAAACCCAAAGGGTAAAATGTCTAAGTCAAATGGGTCAACCCATGTTGTTAACAAAATTTAAAAAATATAGAAATACAAAAAAAAAACAGTGGAAAATTTGGCAATATCTAATATTATATAGCTATCATATTAAAAAAAAATAAGTGCAATAAATAAAAATTATTTTTATTGATGGTGGAAACGAAATACAAAAAAAAATTGTCTTGAAAAGAAATTTGTTTTCCATTCAAGGAATAGTTCAAAAAATCAAGAGTCTAGGTTAATCCATGATGTCATAATTAAATAATAAAAAAAGAAAAATGGATAGAAATACTAAAAGTTATAAAAAATAGAAAAAGTTTATAGAAAAATTAGGAGACATTGTCCTTGATATTATACAGTTATCGCATTATACAAAAAATAACTATATTTATTCGTAATGAATTGAGTAGAAATTTTAATACTTATATAAAAATAAATCCATTTGTTGTGTTATTTCAAATGGGATAGTTCATGATATTAAGATTAAATAATGAAAGTTTTAAATTAGAGAAAAATATAAAATATTATAGAAGAAATTTGAAAAAATCTAAACATATCTTTGATATTGTTATTGTTATTACAATTAGACCTGTTAATGGGCAAGGTAGCTCAACGGGCTGACCCGGCCCATTATAAGTCAGACTTGGTCATAATAAGTCAGCTTGAGCTTGAGCTTGACTTGATACTATAGATTAAAAGATAAAAATATATTTTATTTAATAATATATATATATATATATAATATTTTTTCTTTGTTCTTCTTTTATTTTTTCTAAGTAATAGTGAGATGTTTATTATTTTTTATTTTTAAAGGTTTTTAACATAAATAAAATACTTTTTATTGAATAAAAAAGAAAAAAATTATGTTTTCAAATTTTTGGCCGGGCTCAAGCTCAAGACCTAGGCCTGGTCAGGCTGGGCTCGGGCTCAGGCCCAAGTATATTCTGTTGATACATATACAAAGCCCAGCCCGGCTTGACCCGACCCATGAACAGGTAATTACAATTATTATCTAAAATTGCCACATGCAACGTGCAATGCACTTGTACATTTAGTCATTTACTAGTTTTGTTCAAAAACATGATCTAAAGTCAAAATACTTTGAAGCCCGAGAACAGAAAGCCTAAAATTGGGGCTTTGTACTTTGGGCGTTTAAAAAAACAAAATCTTGAAGCTTATCGAGAAGCACCCTAAGTTATTTTACTTAAAAGAAAAACAACTATTGAGACCAGAAAATTTAATACTTGCACACAATTGTTGCCCATGATCACTAAGGTAATTTCTATATATTTAAGATATCCACTCTCCATTTCCCTTTAAACTGTGTTTGGTTTGATGGAAAATAAGAGAGAAACAAAAATCAAGGGAAAGTTCTTAAGGAACTTTATAGAACTTCTTAAGAACCTTCCCTCAACTTTCCGTTCCTCTTTTATTTCTATCAAACCAAACATAGTGTTAGGGTGTATTTGGATTGTCAAATTGGAAAATATAAAATCAAACTTATCTTTTTAATATGATGAATACAAAATATTGGAAATGCACCCAAATGTAGTTTTACAAAATTTCTGTTGTTTTTAATACTTCTTTGTGTTTCTATCTTTTTAAAGTTTTTATTATTTAATTATGACATCACGGGTTGACCCATTTGACCTAGATGATTGAAATATGGACCTACCACTTGAATGAAAGAATGGCGAATAGGTTCTAAACACAGCTTTTGTATTTTAAAATTACGATTTAAATAGTATAATTTATTGGTGGAAAACAAAAATAACCCAAGTATATGACTTATTGAGAGAAAATGGTAATTAACAGCTTAAATGTAGGTCTTAATGAGAGGGGATGGAAATTAAACCTTAAATATAAAAAAATAATGAGAGAGAGTAATAAAGTGAACTTAAAATAATAATTTAAATTGCATTTATACCCTCACAATAAAAAGGAACAGTATACAAAAATAAGGATATTTTATTAGTTGAGAAAAGTCCAAAAACTAAACTTCATTTTACACTAACTCACCACCCACATCACACCTTTAAATAATACATAGATATTTCAATTAATATGCATTTTTATTTCTTCCAATTCATGCACTCCAGACACACCTTTAAATAATTTTAATTTAATTACCAGGACACTCTTCATTAATTATCCCTTTCTCTCTACAACCTGAAATGAGGATGAATTCGGTGCAAAAATTGTCTTTGGGCCGGCTTTTTCAAAAACAAACAAATAAATAGATACAAATTATTTAGAAAATCTCTAGTCCAAATTTAAATATACCTCGTGAATACACTAGTTTTCCTTAATCACGATATAATGGAATCTATATATCAATATATGAATAACAATATCCATGCATGTTGGGTAAGAGTGGATTCGAGCTGAGCTGAATAGTACCAGGTTCGAGCTTGGCTTGAGATTGTTCTACAAGGCTCAAGCTCGAGTTTGATTCGAGCCAGAACCTTGAGCTCGAGTAAAAAAATTATAAGGTTGAGCTCGGCTCGGCTCGAGCTTGATTTTGAGAAAAAATATTTCATAAAATAAAATTATATATAAAAATATTTTTTTTTTATTTATAATAATTAATAATTATAATATTTTTATTATATATATTATTTTCTATATATATATATATATTTGAGCCGGCTTGCGAGCCTCATAAGCCGAGCTCTAATATGCTCGAGCTCGAATTCAAGCTTGAACTCGGTTTCAACTGAGCCGAGCCAAACTTTTCATGAACCGAACTCGAACAACTCGTGAAAAGCTCGACTTATTACTGCCCCAAATATTGGAATTCCGATTTAGTCTTTATAAAATCATCATTACAACCCTTACAGTCATACATCGAGAATATCTCAGCATAAATAAAAACATACAAATAAGTTGATGTTCTCAAACTACATGTGAGGACGGTTTTGGGAGGACCAAATCCGAATTATGTATGCTCATTTTCTTAATTGGGTAAAGTGAACCAATATTTCGAATCGTTATTGCATGATCCGGACAGTCGGACCGTTCCGCCTAAAAACCATTCAGACAATCGATTTCATTTTATTTCAAACCCGATCTTTAGCTAAAAAACTGATGAATTGAGTGGTCAAACAATGAACCCGTTAGACCCATTTAACGTTTTTTAGCCTTTCTTATTTTAATTATTATTTTTAATTTATTTTTCAGAACGAGCCATCCGTTGGCCAGAACGATTCCGATTCCGGATCGTTTATTAAAACATTGAAGTGAACTACTGTCTACTGGCCCCATAATTTACTGGTTCACATCCCATTTTTTCGCTGAAATATATTGCTTCATATCAACATCCTTCCTTCGTACAATTAAGATTCATTCTTCATTTGGCCTATATTTTTAAAAGGATGCCTTATTAAGGCTAAAAGCACCGACTTTTGCTAAAAAGTAAAAAACAGAAATAATAAAAATAGCATATCCGACTCATTGATGAAATGTACATAAATGGCCGCACAATTTCGTCTATAAATTGAGTGACCATCTCAACTCTCAAAGCACTGCGCACAGACGAGAAGAACAACCTTCTACGTTTTGTACTTCCGAATTTTTTCCATACAATGTCTGCGTCGACCCAAGCCAGTCTCTTGGGTCTATGGTTTTCTCTCCTACTTTTGTCCCAAGGAGTTGCTTCAGTAGATTATGCATCGGCTCTAACAAAGTCTCTGCTATATTATGAAGCTCAGAGATCCGGAAACTTACCTCCCAACCAGAGAGTGCAATGGCGAGGGAACTCTGGTCTCCAAGATGGAAAGGATGCGGGCGTAAGAAAACTGTTCCTTCGCTTGTAAAATCCATTAAGTGGGGGACCGATTACTTGATACGACTTCATATATATATATATATGAGTAGTACTTGATACGACTTCATTAATAATGTAATTTTGCTTGTGGGTGGCAGATTGATCTCGTCGGAGGGTACTATGACGCCGGGGACAACGTGAAATTCGGGTTTCCGATGGCATTTACAGTGACGATGCTTTCATGGAGCGCAGTGGAGTTTGGGGCTGAGCTCTCGGCAAAGAAAGAGCTCAAACATGCCTTGGATGCCATTAAGTGGGGGACCGATTACTTGATCAAAGCTCACCCACAGCCCGACGTTCTGTATGGCGAAGTTGGGGACGGCAACTCCGATCATGCCTGCTGGATGAGACCAGAAGATATGACCACCCCAAGAACTGCTTATAGGATTGATGACCAACACCCTGGAGCAGACCTCGCTGGAGAAACAGCAGCTGCTCTTGCCGCTGCATCGATAGCTTTCCGCAAAGCCAATCCTCAATATGCTTCTAAACTTCTCACTCATGCAAAGCAGGTTATTATTAAGCCGCTCTAGTTTTGGAGAAAAACGTTTTATTTTTTGGCTTAAAAGAGAAATAATTAATTACTATTTAAAACAAGAAGTTACATTCACATTATTGGTTCAATTCTATTTAAATGTTTTTCAGCTCTTTGTCTTTGCTCGCAATCACCCGGGCGTGTATCAAACCAGCATTCCGGTCGCCGGAGCGTTTTACTCCAGCAGTGGATTTGAGGTAACCTTTTTTGTTTCTGCTGCCATGCATCAGCTTTGACGTATTTTATTAGTTTCTTTGTGATAACAAACATTTTAGTACTGGAAATTAATGAATTGATGTCATTGTTTGGTCTGTGTTGTCAACAGGATGAACTGCTCTGGGCAGCTGCATGGCTCCATCGAAACACAAATGATCATACTTACTTGGATTACCTTGGCAGCTCCGGTAACACAGGCGGCACTAGATCCATGTTTTCTTGGGACGACAAATTTGTGGGAGCCCAGGTTCTAGTCTCAAAGGTATTAATTAACAGTTTAATACACCAACCAAATCTGTTATTGTAAAACCTGTTCAGTCCTGTTCCACCCCACCAAGTTCTGTGAGACCCATTCCGAACCCATCACTACCCGGATTCTGAGATCTAAGCATTAAGTTGGATGGGTCAAAATCAAACCCATTTTGAATAATTAAGAAACCCTGTAAGCCATCGATCTGATTTCGGTTTTATTTCATCAATTATAGCTTGTTCTGGAAGGAAAAGTTCAAAACACAGGGAAGTGGGCAGAATACAGGAGTGAGGCGGAGCAGTTCATCTGCAATTGCGTTCAGAAAGGGAATAACAACGTGCAGAGGAGTCCCGGGGGTCTGTTGTGGTGGCAGCCGTGGAACGACCTTCAATATACCACCTCCGCTATGTTCGTCGCAACCGCCTATTCTGAGTATCTGACGGCCGCCCGTGCCACCATCCAGTGCCAAGGGGGTAGAGTTGGGCCTTCGGATCTAATTTCATTCGTTCGTTCACAGGTATTACTAATCACAAGCAGCTTTAGTTAAAAGTTAAAAGTTAAAAGCTAAAAGAAAAAAAAAAACTCTTTTTCATTGATTTATGGATCGATTCTGATGATCCATTTCAATATGTATGTTCAGGCGAATTACATTCTGGGTTCAAACCCGAAGGGAATGAGTTATATGGTGGGATTCGGGTCAAGCTATCCTCAAATGGTCCATCATAGAGGTGCTTCCATTGTGTCGATCAAGAAGGACAGGACACCGGTGACATGCAAAGGTGGCTACGACATGTGGTTTAACAGAAATGCACCGAATCCGAACGTGTTGGTCGGGGCCATCGTCGGAGGCCCGGATCAGAATGATGCTTACACAGATTCGAGGTCAAACTTCCAGCAAGCAGAGCCTGCAACCGTTAATACAGCACCTTTCGTTGGAGTTTTGGCCAAACTTGCATGAACCTTGTGATTTATTCTTCTTCTTTATACTAAATTGAATGTAATCTCAAAAGGATATAGTTTTGTGACCTTACCTTAAAACTGAAAAGAGTTATTAAATAGATGTGGTAAATTGGTTAATGATAATATTTATATAATAAATATTTTGGTAAATGGTGGTAATGATTTTAAATAAATTAGTTGCATTCTGATTTATCAAAGCACAATGTTGCCCAAGCAAATTTTTTTTTTTATATATATGAAGCAATTAATTAGTATAATTGTTATCCTCGATATATTTGCGCTTAACTGGGTAAATGCACTTACAGCTTAAAATGTAAAGAATATAAATACAGATATATACAAAATAATACAAAATACAAGGTTTTGCACTGTATATATTTATATTTGTACTCCTTCGAAATTGAGCATATGGGAGTAAGCATTTTTTAGGTAAATTCATTTACCCATATTTGATCTTTTGCCTCACCTACTTTCCTCATAAAGTAGTCATTTTTACCATGCATGTTGCAAATGACCACTTATAGGATTATTTTTGTGATTAAAATTTGGTTTCTTTCCCTCCCTAACGGGAAATTAACCCACTTATGAGGTGAATAAGATTTTTCTGTGTAAGTGGCCAAAATAGTTACTCAAAGAAAGTTATCTCTGTGGGTTCCATAAATGTTTTTCACAGAATGTTGGTCAATTTTCCGACCCCAAATTACTTATAAACAATTTTACCAAAAAAATAAAAACTTGTAAACAACCAGTTCCTTAAATAAATAGTACATTGAACACCACATTATTAATTGGAGAGGATAGTGATTTATTATTTATTTATGATTTTGCCATCAAAGTAATTATACATCAGATGTTTTATTTTTGGGGGTAAATTGCTGAAACCTCCTCTGAAATTTTTGGTTCTTGCTAAAACCTCTCGTAAGGTTTTCATAATTGTAATCACCTACCCTGAACTTTCTCTGACATAGTTGCAAGTAGACCCCCTCTGGTAGAATATTCTAAAAAGAGACAATGAAAATGTCTAAAATACCCATGCAATTGCTTTTGACAGAAATATTTACTTTCCAAATTTTTCTTCATATAAATCATTACCCCAAACCCTTCTGATAACTTTTGTGAAATTGATTTATTTTTCAAATTTGCCCATAAAATCAATCACTCAAAGGGCTGCAATTTTAAATTCTCTTTGTTTTTATTGTTCATAAAGCTTGTATTGTTTTTTTGGAAGAAACCAATCTCATAACTTCATGGGTATTTTGGGCATTTTCTTGCCCCTTTTTACAAGATTCTATAAGAGGGGGGGTCTATTTGCAACTGTATCAAAAAGCTTAGGGGAGGTGTTTGCAATTACTAAACTTTAGGAGAGGTTTCAACAATGATTAGAAACTTTAAGGGAGGTTTCATCAAGTTATCCTTTTTTTTAATATGGCCCTAAGGCCACTTTCATTCATCAGCAATGTATTGGTTTACAAGGCTCTCATAAGTGTAAATGTCATGAAGAATGAGATATCGTATCCAATGAGGGATCTCTGTGAACCAAAAATTGAAAGTAGAAGAGTTTAGTTTGGCTAGATGATGAGCATCTTGATTGTAAACATTGTTTTAAAAGGCTTAAGCCTTGAGGTGTGAGGTGTATGCCTTGAGACGAGGCTTAAACCAATAGGATTGTAAACAGATTTTGCCTCAAGGCTTAAACCTCACAACTTTGATGTGAGGCTTAAGCCTTTGTTAAAATGAGACGTAAGCCTCAAGTCTTAAGGCATGAGGCGTAAGCTTGAGGTATAAAAAGGTGTAAGCCTCAAGTATTAATGATTAATTAGTGATTTAATGCAAAAAATATGTATTTTTATAATTTAAAACATATAGAAAAAAACACTTTAATAATAATGGGCCAAATAAAAAAGTACAAATGCATGAAAAACCAATAAAACAAATCAAATTCTATTAGTTATTCATAGTGTTTTAAGAAAGTTCAATGCAAAATGGACTAATCAAGTTCTTAGTTTCTTTTGGATAAATTAAGTGAGATTATTATTATTATTATTACAAGGATCAAATCAACTAAATTGTTTCCTTTCTTTTTAACTATTGGATGGCCATAAATCTAATATCAATTATGTGGATGATTCTTCATATGTTTCCTTTCTTCTAAATTGTTTTTTACATGAAATGTAAATTGTTTATAATTGCTAGTTGATTAGTTATTTTATTTTATGCTTAAATTCCAAAACTTATTGCGTATAAACTTTTAGTTTATGGACATGTGTAACTTCTATCATTTTAATTTGGTATATTATATGTTATTTTTATTTATTTACAAACATTAATTAATTTTTTTCCCTAAACTTTGAGGCTTACGCCTTGTAACTCCTCGAGACTTATGCCTCACAATTTTTGGGCCATTACACCTTTAGCCTTTTAAAACCTTGATTGTAAGATCGTTTGACATGAATAACCAACACTAAGTCAAACTTCCTACAATCAAATACATAAACATGTATGGACTATGTTCTTCTTCTTCCAACTGGAATTGGATAAGTTCCAAACAATCTCCATCGAAAATCGAAAGTAGAATAGCAACCTGATTGTAAGACCCTTTGACAAGCGTAACCAACACTCAGTAGTCAAATAAGGGAAGAAGCTTAATTACATAAACATGTATAGACCATGTTCTTGTTCTTCCAACTGGAATTGGATAGGTTCCAAAGAATGAAGAGCTTAGTTTGTTTAGATGATGATGAGATATCGTATCCAATGAGGGATCTCTGTGAACCAAAAATTGAAAGTAGAAGAGCTTAATTAGTTTGGCTAGACGATGAGCAACCTGGTTGTAAAGATCATTTGACATGAATAACCAACACTGAGTCAAGTAAGGGAGGAAGCTTCCTTCAACCTGTCGCATATGCATGTATGGACCTAGGTGGGGAAGGAAATAGGAATGTTCTTCCAACTGGAATTGGATTGGTTCCAAAGCATCTCCCTCGAAAATAATGTTGCAAAACTGAACATGTTTGGCGAACTTTAATTCTTCAACTACTGAACATGTTTGCCTTGTGTGTAGGGACGCAAGTTAGGTTTCCAATTTGAAGAATTTATACAGCAGTGGGCTGGACCCATTCAAATTTTAGCAAATCCTCAACCCAAGTTCTATCCCTACTAAGATCACCATTGCGTATGTCTAACTCTTTATTTTAATTTAGCAAATCCCCAACCCGAGTCCACCTAGTTGTAACCCCACTGATTAATACCACTTTGCGTATGTCTAACTCTTTCTTTTATTTTTGATGACTATAATTTCTTTGAAACTCTTTGTTTGGTACAACTACAAGGTCTCTTCTCATTAGTAATTATTGGAAAAATGGAGATGAAGGCAGCTATGACAAGACGACCAAGGAGAATATGGGATTCTCAAGTTGAACCCACAAGACAGAAACTCACTACAATTTCATCTGCATGGTACAAGAGAAGATGATAAAAATTTCCTTACTTTTGCTTTTAAGAGGTTATGAATTGTAAAATTTGTCTTGAGCTGTTCTAGTTGTCATTCAATTGGTGAAGTCAATAAACACAGAAATTATTTGTAAACTGTGATCTCCAAATATCTTTCTAACTTAACAGGGATGCAGGATGTATCCTCAGCAGTTGTGCCAATGAGGCCATTATATGCACTAGAATGATCGTTGATGCTAGATTTCCAACAAAAGATAAAGTAATTGGCATTTTTTTTTTCATAAATTCTCATCTCGCTAATTTTGCAAAAAAAAAAAAAAATAGCAATACCAGTTTTCATTCTTTTTTATTCAAAAGATGAACGAATAATTTGAGAACTAACTCAGCTGGTATGAGATATAAGGTCAAAATTAGAAGTTTCTTTGCTTTATTATATATTTTTTAGTTATATGATTTAGATATACTTTAATATTTATACTGATCCATGTAAAAATAGTTGGTTATATAACAAATAAAATTTTAAAAGGCCAAGTGTTTTAACCCAAAAGTTTAAAATTAAAGTGCTTTATACATGAACATGTATATATATATTTTTTTTGGGTTCGACTTTCATACTCAAAAAACTTACAGCCAATCAACCGGTATCATAAAAAAAAAATTGACTAATCAGGTGGCATTCAACAAAATTCTCAGGGTGCTAATGCTTTGATTGGTCAAAGGTCTCTCTGCAAAATATCTTTTTGATATCACAGATTTTCCCATATTTTTATAATTTTTTTTACAATTCTAGGTATTGAATTTTTAAATAAAATTTTGACCATTTTTCTTATAATTTTTAGGGTAAAAATATAAAAACATACTTGAGTTTTCATAAATTAACTTCAACATACCCTGATTTTTTTTTTAACTTAAATATACATTGTGAATTTTTTATCCTTTATTTTTCATTCAATTTTTCAAAAGATACACTGATCAATAGACTATTTATATTGCCTTGTGAGTTCTTTATTACATATTCACCCTAGTGAACTGAAACACTTGTTTGTTTATAGAGGGGATAAATCCATAAAGGATAACTTGGAGATGGGGGCGGGGGAGGTGAAAGCACGACTCTATCACTATCAATCTCATCAATGACATTGGGTTGCCAACTGATTTGGGACCAAGTGCAACAGCCCACTCTAAGTAGGATGCCATATTGCCATTAGACCTGTTCATGGGCCTGGTAGCCCGATGGGCTGGCCCGGTCTAAGTTAAGCTTGAACAGGATTTCAGGCCTGTAGGCACGGACTCGGACTTAAAATATCATGTCCAACCTTTTTTGGGTCGGGTTCGGAGTCTCAGGCTGGGAGTCTCTGAGTTGATAATGTATTATATAATAAAAATATATTTTATATAATAAAATATTCATATATAATATTTTTTTCTTTGTTATTCTTCCCTTTTTTCAAACAATGATGAGATCTTTCATTATTTTTTAGGTTTTGAGGTCTTTTAATATAAATAAAATAGTTTTTAATTAAAGAAAAAGAAAAAAAATATTTTCTCCATATTTCTCACCGGACTCAAGCTCAAGACCTAGGCCCAGTGGTCAGGCCGGACTCAGGCTCGGGCCTGAATATATTTTATTAATGTAAAGGAAAAGCCCGGCTGGACCCGTGAACAGGTCTAATTGCCATCCATCAAAAATTGAAAACCCAAATTGCTTATGAGCACCCTACGCTTTTAGAGGAGAAATTCTTGGCTCTTGGACTCACTTGTGGCCTAAGCCAAATCCAAGCTTATCTTATTTACTATCTAAACACCTCTGTACTATCAAACATAGCTTGCCAAGTGAAGTTAAGATCACATTAATGTTCTCTCTTTTTTTGTTAACCGAGCCAATCCGTTGGCCATCTTTTTTCTCTTCTCTTCTCTCATGTTCTTATTCTCGTCCGAATAGGCAAAATAGGATTTTTAAAATTTTAAATAACTTCACATATTCCTCTTCATTGATGGAGGGTATGTTCAAGTCCAATGAGATCAGACCACAAGGTATAATTAAACCTTTTTGAAAACCTATAAAAAATCTTTTTGAAAAACTCAAGATAGGCATAAATCAATTTATGAAAACTCAGGCATATTTAAATCCTTTTGAAAAACATACGATATGTTTAAGGCTAGAACTAGGAGTGCTTAAACATAAGCACTTATTTTGGGTTTATTTTTAAGTGCTTATACTAACTCCTGTTTGAAATAAATGCTTTTTCACCAAGAAAACTTAAAATAAGCACTCTCAAACTTATTTTGGTAACAAGAGTATTTTTATTATTGATTGCAAAAATTGTTACAATAATCTCGTTTCCATCACCAATTTCTAAATACCAACCTAAAGGCCAAACAGTCTTTGCCTTTGTCATGGCCTCATGGGTCATCATCTAGGTCAAATAGGTCGAGCTGTGTCACATCAACAAATTTAATATACACATATGTATATTTGTATATAACTATTTGTATATTATCAATAATTAATGTATGATTATATTATACTTGTAATACATGCATTATTTTATATTTAATTTATAGTTTTAATTCAGTTCTTAATTTTGGGTTTCTTGCAAAACTAGCATGTTGTATTGGGATGTATAGATCTTAAAAAATTGACCAAAACAAAAACCAAAATCACCCTATAGGACATTCAAGCAAATAAGTTATGACCTCCCAAAATTTGAATATGCATTTAGTGTGCAACCCATGACTAGATGTCTAGGTCAGTTTGGTATTTCAGTTGGATATTGTTTGAATCTTAAATAAATAAAGATCAACATTCAAGTATAAATTTCCTCGAGGAGAAGTTGCAGGACTATTGAGCAATTGGGTCCCAAACCACTGTAAAGAAATGAGGAAGAAGCTAGATGCTGGTATTTGCTTTTTTTTTTTCTTTTGTTCTGCGGGAAGTGCAACTAGCAACCCATGTAAAATGATGCAACAAATTGCTAATAGAAATAGACCAAATTATAATCTACTAAAAACAAGAATGCACCTAAACCAACACCAACTTAAAGAAACCGGATCATATAATTTAGTATTACTAAATATAAATTGTTTATAGCTTGAACGTAAACCCTATCAGCAAATACCACAATCACTACCAAACAATTAATATTGTCAAAATGCAAGTTTCATCATATGAATCATATGGAAACAAGAAAAGAGAGATCCAGTCTAATCGCCAAAACTTTCAACTTAGAACACTCAATGCCAGATGCATACAAGATAGCAAAGACAGGTTTGAGCACGGATGTTGACAAAACTTCAATTTATATTCGCCGCCAAGGTGTCATTCCCAAGCTAAAAGTTCCTACTTGCAACAGGTTCATAATCTCCACTGGGCATGTCTCGTGTTTGGTAATCCCTATTTGGTGTATTTCCCATATTCATACTGCTCGGCTTCTGGTAGCTTCTGCTCTCAGCATTGTTCATGCTTATGTTACCAGGTACGTCTCTGTCTTGGTAATCTCTACTTGGTATGTTTCCCACGCCCATGTTAGTGGGCATTTCCCTGCTGTGGTATTCTCCATTTGGCAGACCTCCCATATGTGTCCCCCGATTCTGATAATCACTGTTCGATACATTTTCAATGTCCCTGGCCTGGAAGTCCTGATTTTGAACTGGTGGTCTCACATCCCTACTCTGATAATTCCAGTTTTGAGAGGGAGGTGGGATGTCTCTACTCTGAGAGTTCCAATTCTGTGTTGTTGGTGGTGTGTTCATATCCCTATTCTGTGAGTTCCACGTCTGCACTGGAGATGGAGGCATGTTCATGCCCCTACTCTCGGAATTCCATGTCTGTGCTGGAGGTGGAGGAGGTATATTCATGTCCCTACCCTGGGAATTCCAAGTCTGTGTTGGAGGAGGCTGAGAATTCCAATTTGGTGTAGCAGGCGGCATGCTTGTGTCCCTAATCTGGGAATTCCAATTTTGAACCGGTGGCGGTGTGTTCCAATTCTGCATCTGAGGAGGTACGTTCATATCTCTAGCTTGGAAATTCTGATTTTGCACAGGGTGTGTTGTATAGCTATTCTGGAAATCACGATTCTGCATCGGCGGTGGTGGTGGTGGTCGGTTCTGGAAACCTGGGTTCTGCACTGGTGGTGGTACATTTAAATTTGGTGGTTGCACATTCTGAGTCTGACTTGCAAAAGTCTGATTTGGCATTGGGGAAGGTGGTCCCTGGTTCTGGAACTCATGATTACCAACGGGGGGCACTCCCTGGTTAGGACCACCCTGGTTCTGAGGCACAGAGTTTGGTGTTGAAGGGGGTGGAGGTGGCGGCATATCCCTGTTCATCATATTCTCCCTCCGCCTCTCAAAGTTTCTCGACCTATCATAATTCCTTGGCCTGTCATTACGCCTTGATCTTTCATTTGCCCGGGCATTATTTCGGACCCATTCTTCATGATACTTGGGATCATATGGCACAGCTTGTCCATCAATAAACGGTTCCCCTATGGACAGATTTCGAAGAAAAAAATGAAATAGAATGCACCAGAGATCAAATCACTCATCACAAATGCAAAACAGGAAAATATAAAAAAAAAGAAGCAAAATTCATTCTGCCATCAGCATCAAGTGTAGAAAAAGAATCAGAGTGCAGTTAAAAAAACATATAAATTGAAGTTCTCGATCATAAAGAGGAGAGTTTCATTAGAAAGTCATTTCAGGAAAATAAGCATGAAAAATGACAAATTAAGCTCCAAGTAGCAAGTGGGATGGGAATTAAGGATCCATAAAAGAGAAAATAAGATATTATAAGAACACAACTTGAAGTTCAGGAGATGTGAAAAGGGAAGTTAAACCCCGTAAAAATATACAGAAAGACTGAAATGGGCACCAGTAACTAAGGCATTGTTGTACATGAAGAAGAATAGAATTATACCTCCATAGCTCTTATTCTTGACATCCAGATAAGAATCGGGAAGTACCCATCTAACCCTTGGCAGCTCTGTTTCAAATAAAAAAAGATAAACTAAAATACATATGCCAGAGAGAGTTCCTCCAAAACCAAAATAAAAAATGCCAAAGACGCTAAGTACCCTTGATTTTATACGAGAGTTCCTCTGAAACAAGGCATCCAAAGGCAAAGTAATGCCTCGTCGATACCGAGTAAATCTTTCTCCGTGCTTCGTCTTCACTGCAACAAATTAAAGAAAGAGACAATTCAAGAAAGGAAAAACCCTAATCATAGAATACCCTCCACATCCGCAGTGAGACCAAGGCAGAGACTTTTAAATGTAAGTGGCAATACCTGCCAAGAACCTGAGCTAGGGTTTTGATATAGCTGTCAATGATTTCGTCACGAGTGATATTAGGGTCGGGAGGCTCCATGACGACAAGCCAATGCTCGAAGTCGCATCCATCCAGGAGTATCGTCTCCTTAGGAGGCCTATTTGACGAGTCATTCATCGACCGCGTGGACAAATTCCGAACAACCAAGACTCCATTGCTAACCATATCATTGTTGTTACCTGCTACAGAAACCCAAGGACAATAACAGGAGAGATATCTTAAGGAGGGCTTCTTTTGATTCTGCGATAGCGCGGAATTAAAAAGTGAATCAAGGTTAGGTTTTGTTGTTCCATAAGTGGAGGAAAAACGAGGGACGGTGGTGTTGGGCTTGCTGGCTGCCCCTGCTGCTTGCCGCCTGAGAGAAACCAGGGCTCGACGAGGAATCATTTTGACCTCCTTCTCTCTCTCTCTCACCGCTTAAACCCTGCGGCACGATTTTGAGAGGGGCGGGGATTTAAGAACTTATATACAGTATGAAAGAACAATCTAGTATCTAGGGTCCTCAATGTCGTGTATACATTATTACAGCGATGACCACTTGGCCGAACCGTTGGATCTGTTTATTCTTAAGCTTAGGTCGTTGGGCTCGGCGGGATGCTGTCATGCTGGTTCAACGAGGATCGATCGTAGATGCTTTACAAAGTTTAGTTTAAATTTCTTAAACTACCCTTTTGATTTACAAAGTTTAGGATAAATTTCTTAAACTATCGGTTTAATTAATTTATTAAATATATCCTTACTGATTAGGGGTGAGTATTATTCATGGTTAAAATTGAAATATCGAATCGAAAATTTTAGTTTTGGTTTATCGGTTCGGTTTTTTTGGTTTTTGTGTAATTCGGTTCAATTAATTTGATTTTTATAAATTTCGATTTTCAGTTTTAGTTTTTAAGGTTAAAAATTCGGTTAATCAAAAAAATCAAATTAACTGAAATTCATTATATAATATACAATATATAGCATACTATATATTTATATATTAATATATTATATATAATGTATTTATAATGAAATTCAATTTCATAATATATATATATATATATTATAGGTTATAATATATAATATTCTATAGGGAAAATTTCTGATTAGTACCTTGTACTTTGGCTCGAGTGATAATTTGGTCCCCGAACTTTAAAATGTAACAATCCAGTATCCGAACTTTCAAAATGTGACAATCCAATATCTACCGTTAACTAGTTCATTAATCAATCATTAAGTGACATTTGAAAAAAATAAAAAACACCATAAGAATGCCATCTAATTCTCTTTATCAACCATCCAAACATTGAAAATAAAATGAACAATCCCAAATTCTAGATTATTCTAAATAATCACCAACTTTTTGGAATAGAAGAGGCTAAGATTTGGCACTGTTCAGTTTTTTTTTTTTTTTTTTTTTGTCAAAGTTTGGAAGATTGATAAAGAGAATTAAATGGCATTCAAAGGGCATTTTTGACTTTTCAAATGTCACTTAACGACTGATTAATGAATTGGTTAATGACATGTGCTGGATTGTCACATTTTGAAAGCTCGAGTGCTGAATTGTCATATTTTGAAAGTTCGAATACTGAATTGCCGCATTTTAAAGTTTAGGAACCAAATTATCACTTGAGCCAAAGTACAAGGTATTGATCGGGAATTTTCCCTATTATATATATATATATTAATTAAATTCGATTTTTAACTGAAATAACTAAAAACCAAACAAAAAATTTCAATTTCAATTATTTCAGTTTTCTTATAATTTGATTTCGGTTCAATTTTCAATTTTTGTTTATTTTGGTTTTTAAAATTTTGATTTATTTAATTCGATTTTTAACTAAATAAAACGAATGCTCATCCCTATTACTGACTATTGTCTAACGCTATCACTACTGCTTTTGAGTTTTGACAATTGACTATCTGTATGAAGTATAATTTTCTTCCTTAATTAAGCCTTACCGTTACCATTAACATCCATTAATTAAACTTTACCGTCAACATCGATTAATTAAACCTTACCCTTACCTTGAAAGTTGAAACAGCCATAAACCGAGCTGACTCGGTCCTTAACCAGTGGTGGCAATAACCCCCTCTCTCTCTCCGCCCTCTCTCTCTCTTCAGTTGATCGTCACTGCCTTCTAGACAGTACCATTGCGGAGCTAACAGACTATCCAGTGGATCGTGGATTGGAACGTTAGATAAATTGAAGCAAACACCACCAAGGAACGCTTCAGATGCTCCATCCCAGACCGAGATCTCTAATGTGGCATTACCAAAATCCGGCCTATTTTGCAAGTTTATGGGCCGGCTTAACCACCTGCCTATTTATATACAATAACTCTACATTAACAAAAGATATTGAAGTTCCCAAGTGATGTTTTTATCAGTTCATTTTAATTTTAAAAACATTTTATTGGCATCTCATAGCAAAAAACCGTTTTCATAACCCATATAAAACAATTTGTACAAACCTCTTATTATTGCCCAGAACTCGACTGATGATGATGATCTTACTATGCAAGATTGTCCTTCTAGAAGGAGAAAGAGAGATCCATGTGAAAACATTAAGAGCCTATAGATGCACTTTGTGTGGTAGTGTTCCACGATCATCCACTAAGATGATAATGGTAATTTGTTGAACTGTAAGGGTAGTATTAAACAATAGTCAAAGAGTAAGGGTATACTTAATCAATTAGCTAATAAAAGCACTTCGTTCGTTCTGACTTAAAGAAAAATGCTTCTGGGTAAAATAGGTATTTTGAAAATTATATGGACTAAAATGGACAAGAAACATAATAAGTATTTCTAAAAAGCACTAGAAAAAAGACAAAGTTTTGAGTTTATTCAAAACAGGCTTATATTTGAAAAAAAAAAGAGCTTATTTGGACTTATTTCCCAAACGCATATGTTATTGTATACTTCCATTGTAATTGCTTAAAAATAAACACTCTTCAATATATATATATATATATGATAATTATGTATATTTTATTTAAATTTATTTTTAGGGTAAATTACAAATAGGTAGCCTATACTTTGGGGTAGTAAAAGATAGGTTCCTTGAACTCCCAAAATTAGACACTTAGTTCCATTCCTTAGTATTCTATCAGTAAAAATTACATAATACCAAAAATGCCCTTATCATGTATTTTTTAGAACATTCGTGGGTAACTGAACGTCTCCCCATGATGATGTTTTCACATAAACAACAAATAACATATTCAAATTTTCAGATGACAGTATTCTCTCATGATGATTTTACTTTATAGAATGATCTTAAAAATACATAAGAAAGGCATTTTTGACATTATAAAATGTTTAATTTACAAAATACTAACAGGTGAACCCAAGTGTTTATTTTTAAAAGTTTAAGATACTCAAATGTTAGCAATTAAAAGTTTAAGATACCTATGTATCATAATCCCCAAAGTACATGAAACCTATCTGTAATTTACCCTTATTTTTAATCACCTTAAACAACAAGCGTGATAAAACCAATGTTTTGAACGGTTAAGCAGATGGTCAAACTGGTGACCCGGTGACCCATCTCGTCGGTTGCCCAAGTTTTATTGTATTTCAGTATTACCAGGGTTGGCTGGCTGGGCTCCCTAGTTCTTTGGGTTGGGCTAGGTGGGCCGACCGTAAACTAGCCAAGCTTAATGCATATCATTACAATGTGTCAAAATGCTGGTTGAGCTTTGTTGATAACATGGATGCCTTACCAAATTGACGTTAGTTACCCCTTGATTTATTTGGGATTGTTTTGCAGGTCGATGTTGATTCCACTTATATTTTTATAGATTTTTGTCATTAATAAATACCATATTAGACCTAGCCATTTGGGCTCTGTTTGGATAATTTCTTTTGCTTTTGGGCCTTGGTTTTAAAAACAAAATTGAGCCGAAGAATGTGCTTGGGTGCTTGACAAGATTTAAGAGTTATCTCTGACTCGTTGTAGCAGAGACGTGGGATCAATATCAAAACCCGCTGCCACCAGGGGGTTTGGAGGGG